CCGAAGACAAACAGAAACTACGCACTCTGAAGGCTGACGAGAAGTCTCGATTTTCATGGAAGGTGATCTCGACCAAGATGGGCAAGTCTGAGGACGATGTTCGCTCTATGTGGAATAAGATCAAAGACAAACTTGGCTGACCAACGACATATGCAAACCAACGAAAAAAGAAAAAAGAACTTGCGGCACTGTATCCCAGCTTTACCAATCATTTGACCTTCCTTCTGGGAATTTTTCTTCTCGTTAATCTTCAGAACCATGGGCGTGGTTGCCCCATTGAATTTTGACACGTCGTATCACACAACCCGCCAGCCATTTATTATGTCTCTCCGCATTCACCTGGACCGCTATTGCCAACTGCGAGCTATGTCCCACGAGAGGATCTCACCTACACGACGCTCACGCTCTCCAACCAGAACATCGTCTTCCGCTATGGGCTCTTCGTCACTTCAGCACCCACCCAACCGGTCTTCGCCTACGACACCTCACCGACCGGTTATTTTCCAATTGGACCTGAAGCCGATGCAACAACTGGCCGTACGCAACCCTTATTACAACATCTTGACCCCCACGGTCGCGGGCAACCTTCCTACGGCCACCTATGACAGCCTGTTCCAGACGTTCAAGGTGATCTACCCGGACTATGCTCGCAGTCATTTCGTTTCAGACCTCAAAACCGTAGTCACCGACACGTTGCTACAACGCTGGTCGATACACCTACCAGCGTCAGATTTCTACATGATGATTGACACCGATCAAGGAGCTCAGATGCTTGACGACCTTCCTCATTCTCTTTTGGATGTTTTGAACTGGTTTTACCCGAGATGGAAAACTCATCAACATCTCGATGCCTTCACGACCCGTGAGTGTTCACCGTTGCTGCTTACACCCCATCCGGATGCACAAGACACAGGCTTTGCTGTACATGTTCAAGTTATTCCCCGTGGGCATCCATTCGTCACGGCCACCAGATACACTAAAGCGGCCGAGTGATTAGCCGTCTTGATAGATCTCGGCGAGGCTCACGTCTATGAGGAAAAAAGGAAAACACTCGTTATGATGTCCACCTTCCCGGTTCTGATTTTTCTTTGTGTCATCCATTTCTCTTTTTCCATTTGGTGATGTTCGTTATTTATTCCTTCATCATTGACCTTCCCCACGGCTTTTTGGCTTCAGTTCAGTATTTCTCGTTATCATACTCTTGTGATCGTACATGATGACCTCCAACACGGATGATCCTGCTCGATTGGTCTCACACCGTTCACCACCTACATCCATACATGGCCTTGTCTCACACCTGCCACCTGATGATCCTACCTCGGCATCCTATATTCCTCGTGCAGCGCGAACAATTCCGACTTCTACCACTGTCCATTCCGTCTTCATCAAGAAGCTGAGCTATCCTTTGTCTAACCGTTCAGATGAACTTTGGATCGTGGAAAGGACACTTGATGGTATTGAAACGTGGAAACCAGTGGAAACATTTCTGGAGAACATGCACCTCACCAACGACCAGGCGACCGTGCGTACCACAGCTAATCATTGGCGCCGATACTATGACGTACCAATTCAATCATCATCCTCCTCCCCTACGGCAACTACAGTTCCCGTTTTACCACACCCTGAACACTCCAACGTCTATGTCTCCCAACCGTACGAAGCGATACCGGACCACCTCCATATTTTGCAGTCATGCTGGGGACGCTCTGCCCAACACCACTCTCAAGGAACCACTACCTCTTTATATTGGCCACCTTGGCGGTCTACACCACCTTCTTCCCCATCGGCAACACTACAACGTACTGTACATCTCACTCGCCCCGCCGTCCATCCTCAACAAGTACATGGCCCACTGGATGCGAACGATATGGACCCGATGGATATGTCGGACTCAAGTGTGTAATATACCACATCATTTGTCGGCTTGAAAAAAGACCTGTGATTTACCGTCTCTTTGTGTGACCATTTGCTAGGTACACCGTTTCTCTTCCCTTTCCAACACTTTGAGCTTTATTCTTTGGTCATTTCAACCCATTTTGCAGCTTGGGCTTTGGGCTTTTCGCTTTATCCTCGACACTTGATATTCGACGCAATGGCTCATTCTTCTCGGCCCCATCCATATCGCGCTACATCCACGATTGAGACACCGCTTGGTACACGAACCGTTGGATGGTTTGCTGGACATCGAGGCCTTCCTGGTGATGTGAACCCTCCTCCAAACAGACCCGTTCTTATCTTGGTTGACTTCTCTCCCCTACAGGCATTGACTCACCGAAGCGAACCTGACCGCGAACACTACATGGCTATGGCGAGCTCCAATTTTAGAAATGTTAGTGGCTACGAACTTGAGGCTCTGTTTACCTGGTCACGTCAGATGGAACCAGTTGAAGCCGGCCTCATCCCAACTGGCGAACTTCGCTTCTGTATCTCCAAAAGATTGAGGTCCCAATGGGACATCCAAATTGATCCCTCGAATTTGGAGTTTCGCTTTTGCGACCTGGACGGTGATACATTCCAAGTGTCCAATGATATGACGATCTTGCAGCTTTTGGAGGAATACCGACCTGAATGGAGACTTCGGCAGTACAACTCCCGCGAATCCTCTTTGCTCATTCCGGGTACCACACAGCCTTTCGTACTACGTCTGCAATGCTACAAAATTAGCTCCGGTGTGATCTTGCCCTGATACGCTAGCCGGCCAAAAAGACCATGCTGCGGGTTTTCTACTCTCTCTTGACACCTCACCAACACAAGGGACTTTTTGATTTATACCGTATTTGTCTTTGAGCTTTGGCTTCTTTGTCGCAATTGAACCACTTGATTGCGAACTGGACTTCGTTATTCTTAGGTTTTCATGTTCTTGCTGGACTTATTTACGCAATTTTTGATGCCTCAGCCTTTGTTGCACCATTCCTCACATTTCCGATCGTTTCACCTATGGAGCACAAACGAGACGCGACCGTTGCGGGTTTGGCTTGGCCTTCGAATCCTACTCGTGGACTTGCTCCTACTGACCCTGCTCAAGTACCAGACACCCAGGCTGCTGCATTTTGTCATTCTGACGTTTCTGACCCTCCTACCAACACCACTTCGGGCCCCTTGGCGACTGACAGTACAGCTCTTGACCCTGGAACTACGATCCATTCTGATACATATTCAGGCCTTGCACCTCCTGATATCCCGTTTCCGACAGAGCCAAGCTCTACACACAACTACCTCCATCGTGCTCACTTCTCTTCCCGCGTGGTTCACCAGATCCAATTCAAGATCTTTACCCACTCCAACAACACCAGGGAGCTATTCATTGAAGAGATCCCCTTGTCAGGGCTCTCCAGATGTCGTGATCCTGAACACTACTTTTATGGTCTTTCGGGCAATTGGGAGTGGTCCCTGCGCACAGCGGACTATTGGCGCCATCATTTTGAAATTCCCCTAGTACATGGCCATCAACCTTTTCACAACGTTCCCATTGAGACCACGGCACCTACGGAGGTAACCCGCTTTATCCCGACGATCCAGGACTTGGCTCAACAACTTTCTACCACTTTGAGGGCTGCTATGGCATCTGGGGAAATCAACGATACGTGGAGAGCGCTTGAGGACATGAGCTTCCGTGACGCGATCGAAACACTTCAAGCTGAGACGAGCCCCCTTCTTAGTGACTGAATACAGTTATGTACATTAGCTCCGGAACAGCTTTATGTATCTAATTTTGTCGACATTGCTGCGATGGTCTTCCAAAAAATCAAACCCCGCTACAAGCGGGGTGTGTGTGTGTAACATCTGAACAGATGTAAAACTTCCTTGACTCTTGCCGTGTTACTTTTACAGGAAACCTGTTTATATTCGCAGGGGGACTGGAGCCGATTTGCCTATCCAGTCCAACGAAGCTATGGCATTTCGGTGGATGAGTGGTCTGATCAACCACTTGTACCTGCAAAACTCTGTTTGAACTGTTGACCAAGCTGTTACACTGCGTTGTTTCGACTCTACACGGTTGCCACAATCTGTATTGCATGCATCAGAACCTTCCTCAGATTTTCGCCGAAACCATATCGCCGACAGTATTATGATTTTTTGGCATATTTTCGCCGAGATCATGTCGCCGACGAACTTTGGGTCTTTTTGGGAAACAATCGCCGAAACATTATTTTGGATTTTCAACATGCTGGTCAAAACTCTATGGACTCTGGTTTTAACTACGTTTGACAATATTGGATGCCCTACATCGTTTTCGAGAAGTACCTCATATGGCTCCTTTATTAATCTAACGATCTAGGCTGGTTTGCATGTTTCAGGATTCAGTTCCTGCCGGATCATATAATGATCCATTCTTGTCTAGTGTGTGTGTACTCAAAGCTGGCTTTGGTCCTCGTCGCTTCAAGCGAACAAATTCTCCAGCAGCGTAATTCACTTCCTCATGTTTCAGCTGGTATGTCTTTGACAAGGAGGGGTATGCCTTTGCACCATCAGTCACCAAGTCCGACCCCTTTTTGATCTTCTCCATGTTAGCAAGTGCAAGAGAAGATCTGGTTAATGTAGCATGAAGACAGCTAGCAAGTGCAAGAGAAGATCTTGTTAAAGTAGCATGAGGGCAGTTAGCAAGTGCACCCTTTGAATGTGCATGTTACAGCCAAACACACTTGAAACACATCCCTTAGCTGTACTGTCATCCTCTTACGCTAGCCAACCAGCTTGAAGCAGCAAAAACATGTGTATATATATGCATATAAATATATAATTAATAATAATAATAACAATAATAATAATATATATATATATATGTATACTTAATTATGATTATTTATGGTTAATGATTTCATTGATACACACCTATACAATTATATATATATCATTATCGATATATACTAATTACATATATCATTTCATATATACTTATACATATTATATATATATATTATAGCACATCTGGATTTTAACTGCATTCCGCAGTCCTTTTCCGCCCAAATCATTTTTCCTGGTGCCCCAGCGGCTCGCAGGTGACGCCAACGACGGCGCTGTAGGACATCGGTCCAAGCGCCAGAAGAGACGAGAGAAGGAGGCGCGGAGGTTGAAGCGACGACGGCAAGGAGCGGAGTTAGTGGGGAGTGGGGGGTGATATCACTGGGGATCTTGATCAATGATTGGATATTAATTATATGAGACCACTGATACTAAATAAAATCTGTAGCAAACTAAAAGTGTTATGTTGATAGTATGGAGTGGAATGGCTTGGGGATATCCTTGACAACCACTGGGATCCTTGGTCCACCATCACTGCGAATGGTTGGGATGCAGTGGGGTTTGCTGTAACCAGCAAAACATACCAAGGATGCTGTCTGTGTTTTTGCTAAATGAGATGGGGATTTAATGAACCAAGCAAAGTGGCTTCCGTTTCGCGTGGCAGGCGGCAGGCGTGGCACTTACAGCACTGGGCTGGCTCTGGTTGAGCGCAACACACAACACTTTCACACACAACTTCGTCACACGCAATTTTGCCATCCACAATTCTTTCACACACACACAATTTTTTCACACACGACTATCTCGCACACAACTTTGACACATTAATTTGTCACACAACTCTTTCACATACAACTCTGTAAAACTATCGATCCTCCACCATCTCCTTTGTTGTTTCCTGCCTTCTCCGTACCGCTTCAACCCTGATTATTGGAAGAAGCAATGGACTTGTGGGGTTATCCGGTCCTTTAATTTGGAATGCCTGGACCCACACAGCCACTTGATGGTCTATTAGATATGAATCTGAAGTATGTAAGGACCAGACAGGACATTGTAGGCTCGTCATTGCGGGCTGATGCCTCAACGGGCTGATGCGGACTATAAATGTCTATAATTTTTTTTTGGGGAAACATTGGCATTGGTGTTTTGTTGGTTCCTCTACCTTGTTTAAATGGAAATACCTCCATCTGGGTCGCCAGACTCTCCAACGGATTTCGTGCTGATTGACTGGGACAATTTGCATGAAACTCTTTGCTTGACGGTAAAATGGAGGTGGGGCTGTCTGAAAATGCGTGTATATCCCCATTTTTCGACATCAAACAATGAACCAACCAATTGCAGTTGAAGGTTTCCCGATCATTTTCAGACAAACCCCTGATTTTATGACCCATGGCCGTGTCAGGACCCGCTCCCACGGAGACCGGGGGCTTTGCCACCAACTCGACCACAGAGACCATCGATCGATCGACTGCCGTGATGCGGCTGAGTGCTGCAACCTGGCTACTGCCTTTGGAAATATGGAGCGACATGGGGTATGGCTTATGATTGGGTTTGGAAGCTTAGCACCTAGCACATTCTGAGGATATATTTTCTTGTCAGGATATTTTAAGACAATATAGTGACCAGACGTAGTAGTATGGATACAACAGAATGATGGGGATACGATGAAAAATTAAAGATAGAGGTACCGGAAAACCTTGGTGTAGTAGGTTGACGGTTGCTTATTGGCTAGTTGGTCATGGAGATCAATTATGGGGTACACCTGGAATTAGATGCTTACGCATGGTGAGGACTAATTACACCATGACCAATATGACCAGGTTCCCAGGGACTCAATTTTTGATCCATATTCAGAGTATGGCAAAATCCTTACAATGGCGACATGCACAGGATGTTCATCAGGCTACCAGGTCAGATGACCAACACATACCCATTTTGCAATGGAAGAGTCGAAACTTGACTAGTGCAACAGCTGACAGATCCTTGATCGGAGTCATGCAATGCCTCCAAGATCACAAATGGAAGAGTCAACACCAAAACAGTCTGGGAAAAGTAGCATCTCAATGTCCCTTTCAAGGATCACATTGGCCTGGACACCAGTAAATCATGGCCAACCAGGCATTTTTCAGGGTAGCATACCTCATTTTCTTTGTTTTTCTTAGGATCAATTTTGTTGAGAATCGGACCTACAGGGTGAAACGAACGAAACGCATTTTCTTGGACATCCGAGCAAGTGAATCATCCTTGAGGATTTTCCGCTGCCTGTCGATTTCATGCCGTTTTTAAGTGATCTGGTGGCAGATTCACATTACCGCCCCTCAGATGCAGAGTGGGAGAAAGCAGGGTTTGGGGAATCTTCCAGAAGCTTAAAATAGCTGTTAGAGACCAAGTTCTCACCATGGAGGTGACATTTTCGAAACCCTAGCAGTCTGGGTGTAAAGCAATAAGACTTTGGGCAGTTCGCCGGGCGCATTAAGAAAAGGCATCAACACATTTGGGTCCTGTCATTGGCCAATGAAGATCGAAGTGGTTTCGAAAAGTCTGGCCATCTGGCTTAGTTCGCGAATCGGGGACCTCTAAATCTGCTAGTTGATCATCATCTTTCCATATTTTTCCATATCTTTCCATATCTTCCCTATTTTGTGACCATTTGGGTACAGAAAAAATCCCATCAGACACCCTGCATCCCTGCCGAGGTGAGTTATGTTGGAGCCTGAGCGAAGACCGCTGGCGCAATGGATTGATTCCTATTTCTGGAATGGGGAGAGGGTAAATTAAATCTGGTTTGTAAATGTCTTTACAGTCTATACAGAGTCTATACACAACATTAAAATCAGAGAATTTGTTCTTGCATCAAACTGATCTATCAATTCTATTTGGATTGTGCTATTGCAGAGCCGCAGTGGCTGCATTTCCCAGGCGAAACTTGCTTGGTTGCACTGAAGGAGGCTGGGTCGTGGAGCCAAATTGTGTGATCTTTGAAAGGGATGAGATCGGGAAGAGCTTGCAACATCGGTTTGGTTAATCCTTGCAGGAGAATAAGCCCCTCCATGCCCCTCGTAAGCTTGGGGTATCATCCACTGGATGGCAGGTCTGTGTGGGCGCTCTGACACAACCTGCGTTTCAGATGAAGCCGTTCGATTGGTACCCCGAGCCGACGATCACCCCCTTTGGCTCCTTCATGCAGGCACACCAATTGATGGTCATGCTCGGGCTCCCAAGTCACCCACCAATCATACTGGGTATCCAATGCTTGGTTGGTTGAATGTAATTTTTAGGATCTTTGGGGCCTCTCGCCCCCTTTTCTGGGAGATCCCTTAGGTTTTCGTTTGAACGGGGATGGGTCCATATCTATGGGACCAATCTTTGGGGAATGACCATCCAGTAATAACCCCAGGTCCCTGGTCCCTGGTTGATGAATTGGGGGGTCCCCAACATGTAGTGCCAACAATTATTATACTATTGAAATTGGTGTACCCACTATTGATGCACCAGGGGCTTATGAATCATAAGCCATCCAGGCTTGATATTCCCCAACCAGACACCCTTGAAATCGCTCCTCTCCCAGGGTACAGCGCTGAAGAGCTCAGATCTGGACGTGCGACTGTCTGTGCAATTCGATGTGAAGCAGAAGGAGTGGTGTCATCGTCGTAGCTGGAATCTGTTTCTCTGGATGGCTTGTAGCCATTCACTTGGTCTTGAGCTCTTTTTCGGGATTGGACGATTAGATGGGTTTGTAAGTTCATCACCTATCCCACTGAAAGTTACACTTTTGGAAGGGGATCCACAACGCAGTTCTCGATTGGGTCAAAGATGGGCGACCTTGCCATTTGGGCGTGTCTAAAAACCATGAGAGGTCACCCAAAAAATAACATTGCAATGTCAATCGGGAAAATGATGATGAACATTGATGAACCATGTGATTTTGTATCCTCAGACATACCAATTTCTTAGACAGCCATGGACGTGGAGTGGTTTCCATTTTGAATATGAATACCATCTTCCATGGCTTCATGTTCCACCTCCATGGTCGTTTTAGATTGCAGGATGTGCAGATCCGAGAGTCTTGCAATTGCTGCCATTAAAGGGTTCAGGTCGAAGTGACCATGATCGATCAGAAACCACCTCTGATTGGTACTCCAACATACTCCAACCCCTTATCTTTTTCCAAAACATTTCTGGTGATATACGGTATATACATTGATCCATATTGATCCCGAAACTGTTGAGACTATCAGAGAATTTGCCATTAAAAACCCATTCGATAGTTTCTATTCCAGTTGTTGGACATGTTTCATCATTCATTCTTGAGCAGCTTCCCACTCAAATTCCTGTGCCTTTGCCAGGAGGGTCAGCTGAAATATCTCAGCGCCATTGCCGAATTCCAAGCGGAGAACTTTGAAACTGAGGTCTTGATCTCAACTGCCTCTTGGCAAACTTGTTCCATGTCAACTTCGAAACCTCGGGGAACCTGCACGAAGTACGAGGTAACTCAGATGACTCAACCGGATGTTGGCGAAAGCACCATGGGAGTTCCCGGGAAAGGCAACAGGGTGTTTGAAACTTCTCATGCGGGATTTACTGTAGCCATCTGTAGCCCAATTTATTCGGATCATTTGTGGTAGTAAACCCTTCCAGTTCGGGGGCTTGAAAACTAAGTTTTCGCTGTTTTAGCTGTTGTGTTTCCTTCCTTCTTGGCGATAAGATCCCCCATGTTTCCAGGTTCAGCCCCATTTTTCGGGGGCCCACTAGTTACCCCAGGCTTTTGGGCCTAGGCCTCCATCCCCTTGCTTCGCTTGCGGTATCGCCAGCAGCTTCAAGTAGACATCACCATGGGTGATGCCGACGACTGCTGGGCCGTGGATGATGCCATTCGGCGCCTCTTGGCGCTGCAGCAGCATGCCACGTCCCTGGTGTGTTTGGTGAAGGCTGGCCAGGGGGGGGCCAGGGGGTGACGGTTGGGGAGGAAGACCCGGCCCCTTATTGGGAACCCAAAGTGAATAGGTCCAGCGACTAGGGTTTTTTTAGGAGGATATTGAATATTGAGGGGAGGGGATTAGGTTCAAGCTAGTTTCTGCATATTTTCTGTGCCCTGATGGTTGGCGGGGCTGTGATCCTTTTGGTGTTGCCTCATCCTCATGTGTCCTTGGTGAACCATGACAAAGGTAGGAAAGAAGACCTATTCAGAATGAAAGGTTAAGTGTACAGTAGGTGGTTCTGCTGGAGTCAGTCCCGGGAAAATCACTGGCTGGTAGTTGGTAGTTTAATTTTTTTGCATTTATGATTCCAGTGGACTAATGTCAGCAGACTTGAAACACCTGTGCTCCATTGTCCTCCTATCAGCTCAAGTACCAGCTAAATACCTTTTGAAAGCCTTGGTTAAATGTATTGGCTATACTTATTTTGGATTCAATTTGGGAGGATTCAACCTCAGGGCAATGGATGAATGTCGACCCTACAAACCGGGAATTGATTAATCTTCAATACTATACCTTTCCATGCATATTACTATTACAGTATTGTATTTCATGTCCCTTTTTTGTCGACCCTGAGGCCTTTGCAAAGACCAAGGGCCTCATTGACGCCTACAGCGGCTTTCTGAACTCGGTTGCTGAATCCTCTAGTGATCTACACCTGCAATGGGAAAACCCAATGTTAATGGTATTTAATGGTAACATGATATAAAATTGCATAATTTTACCATCTACAAATCGGGGATTTTCTAGTGCCCGATTTCGACTACCAGAGGATACCTGCACACCGTGGTTCCAACCTGGGATCATCCCAGGTGAGCCAACGTCCCGGCTTCACCACCTCACGATATAACTGGGGATATCAGTGGTATATAAGCTATATAAGGTATATTTATACATTTTCAAGATTGGAATCATATAACTTGTATTTCATCTCAAGATGACTATTTGATATAATTCAATATCATCAAATAACAAATGCTTCTAGCCTTCTAGCCTTCTAGCATTTTAGCCAAAAACAACTGCAGATTCTTGGTGCTATTTAAGTTTGGCCTTCAGGTTCTCCACAGCTGAAACTGCTGAGGTTGGCTGGGTCTTTCTTTGCATCAGCTTCCTGCAAGTTGAGAAAGCCCTCCCAGGTTTCGATACTTTGGAGGCCGAGAATCTAAGATTTGGGCTCCAAAAAGGGAGGGGAACTTCCCGATTTAAACACCGCCGTGAATTTTCGGCGATTTCGATTTGTTTCTGAAGGAGATTCGTAGGGTTTTGGTGTTGTGGGTGTCCTGTCGTTGCAGGATGAGGACTTACAACCCATTGCAGTGGACATGGCCACGTTGTACAGGCGGGGCTGAGTTCCTTAAAGCAGGAAGTTGTCTGACCTTGCCCAATGATTCGATGGGGCCTAGGTCTTGATGGTTTTCTTTGTTTATTTTTCAAGGTTTTGAATATTTTTGTTTCAGAACTTTGAAGTACTTTCTGGTTGTAAAGTAATGCACATACCTATGTCCAGGGTGATTTTTCCAACCTGGCATCCCGCCAGGCTGTTTGATTATGTGGCCACTTGCTGCACACAGCGGTGTCGCATCTCTCTGTCAAGGCCCCCACCACCACCAGGGCCATCAGGGGTGCCCCCCAAAAATGGGGTGCGCCAAGAGGCCAGGATGTTCACACCACAAGTTACCAGAATGGTCCATTTGGATGTTCACTTCATTTATACAATTAATCCCCAGAAAATCATAGGGCCATGAAATGGAGGGTAATTCACCAACTTCACCAACTTCAGCAACAAGTTTATGTAATTAGCAAGAGTCACGGGAGTATCCCAGAAAAGGGCGTTAGAACACGAAGCCCGGGGAATCAGCAGTAGAAATCCCTTGGAACCATTGGACATCCGCAAGGAGAGGAATGCTGTTGGACCGTTCACTGTCACACTTGTCTTGCTTCTCCACGAAATGGTCTTGTTTATGTGGATATGATATGTCTAAACCTGGTACTGTACCCTCACCATTAAGAAGACTCAACCATCAATGTCAATGATCGAGGATTCAACAACAAAGGAGATAGTCCACAAGAGTAACACCCAGGGGTATATCCTAAAATAGGGAGGGGCTCCAACAGTTGGTTCGTCCTATTGAACAATGAAACACAATGATTCGGGATGTTTCTAACTGTGGGAGATTCCCTCTGATAAACAATTATCAGGTACATTATAATCGCGATCTCGCAACGACCTCACCATAAATGATGGTCAGATATGGTCAGCAAGGTACTGTAACCATCCCCAATTATTGAGAAATTGCCTAGAAACATGGCAATGGACAATCCCTTATTCATAGATAGGAGGGCAGGGTAGCCTTACCAGTGGGCAGTCAGGGACTGGCAGCAACCCTTGTGTATTTGTCTTGTTGGAGATGTGCTGATACGTACCTACCTACCTACCTGCCTGCCCTGCCTGCCCTGCCTGCCCTGCCTGCCCTGCCTACCTACCAAACCTACCTACCAAACCTACCTACCAAACCTACCTACCAAACCTACCTACCAAACCTACCTAATTTACCTAACCTACCCTACACCTACCCCTACCCCTACCCCCAACCCTAACCCTACCTAACCCTATCCTACCCCTAACCTAACCTACCTAACCTACCTAACCTACCTAACCTACCTAACCTACCTAACCTACCTAACCTACCTAACCTACCTAACCTACCTAACCTACCTAACCTACCTAACCTACCTAACCTACCTAACCTACCTAACCTACCTACCTACCTACCTACCTACCTACCTAACCTACCTAACCTACCTAACCTACCTAACCTACCTAACCTACCTAACCTACCTAACCTACCTAACCTACCTAACCTACCTAACCTACCTACCTACCTACCTACCTACCTACCTAACCTACCTAACCTACCTAACCTACCTAACCTACCTAACCTACCTAACCTACCTAACCTACCTAACCTACCTAAACCTACCTAACCTTACCTACCCTACCTACCTACCTAACCTACCCTACACTACCCTACATTACATTACATTACATTACATTGCATGACATTGCATGACATTGCATGACATTCCATGGCATTGCATTGTATTGTATTGCATTACATGTCATTGCAGTCCATTACATCGCCGCACGCTAAGATACATTGAATTACATAACATGACATTGCATGGCATACTACATTGTTACGAGACATGATATGACATGACATGACATGACATCACATGACATGACATTATGACATGACAATTTAATCAACAGACACACACACACACACTACTGTAAGCCTGTTGGTGGGTCACCATGGTCTCAGCAGGTGCAAAGGATTTGGACCTTTGCCGATGAAAGGAGGATCCGCATCGTTGCTGGGCCACCAGAGACTGTTCCGTGGAGACGGGCGCAACATGGATATGACCAGGGAACCAATATGAACAGAAGATGAACAGAACAGAATATTAGTGGAGGCCTCTCGATTCCACCCAAACGGTCCAGAGCCTATGCCAATTGCACGACGCGCAATTTCGGAGGGAAACTGCAGCATTTTGAGGTTATTCCTGGAGCATCCTACCCTGCCCGACAGGAGAACGGGCACCGGTAGATGGATGTGGATCGAGTTGGTGCTCGTATTCTGTAGTGGTTGGTGGCTTCAAATATTTTGGAACCCTCAATGCCAAGTCACTTGGGATGATTATCCCTAATGCTATTGCTGGGACATGCTAACAATCCTGAATCTGATAATAAACACATGCAATATGTTTGTATTTTGTAAAGGACACAAGTCCTTTAGGTCCTTCCGAAGTTTCGCACCGGAAACCATGACCCCAGGCCAGGGACGATCAACCCAACAAGGATCAACCCAATGAAGTAGTCAGATTCGGTGCGTATCCACCAGACGATCAGGACACAACCACGATAATCATAATGATGATTTCAACGATTGTACGCATCATCATCATCATCATCATCAACAACAACAACGTAGTAGTAGTAGTAGTAGTAGTAGTAGTAGTAGTAGTAGTAGTAGTAGTTAGTAGTTAGTAGTTAGTAGTTAGTAGTTAGTAGTTAGTAGTTAGTAGTTAGTAGTTAGTAGTTAGTAGTTAGTAGTTAGTAGTTAGTAGTTAGTAGTTAGTAGTTAGTGGTTAGTGGTTAGTGGTTAGTGGTTAGTGGTTAGTAGGTAGTAGGTAGTAGGTAGTAGGTAGTAGGTAGTAGGTAGTAGGTAGTAGGTAGTAGGTAGTAGGTAGTAGGAGTAGTAGTAGGAGTAGTAGTAGGAGTAGGTAGTAGTAGTAGGTAGTAGTAGTAGGTAGTAGTAGTAGGTAGTAGTAGTAGGTAGTAGTAGTAGGTAGTAGTAGTAGGTAGTAGTAGTAGGTAGTAGTAGTAGGTAGTAGTAGTAGGTAGTAGTAGTAGGTAGTTCGTAGTAGTTAGTAGTAGTTAGTAGTAGTTAGTAGTAGTTAGTAGTAGTTAGTAGTAGTTAGTAGTAGGTAGTAGGAGTTAGTAGGAGTTAGTAGTAGGAGTTAGTAGTAGGTAGTAGGAGTAGTAGGAGTAGTAGGAGTAGTAGGAGTAGTAGGAGTAGTAGGAGTAGTAGGAGTAGTAGGAGTAGTAGGAGTAGTAGGAGTAGTGGGAGTAGTAGGAGTAGGAGTAGTAGGAGTAGTAGGAGTAGTAGGAGTAGTAGGAGTAGGAGTAGTAGGAGTAGGACTAGGAGTACTAGGAGTAGGAGTAGTAGGAGTAGGAGTAGTAGGAGTAGGAGTAGTAGGAGTAGGGGTAGGAGTAGGAGTAGGAGTAGGAGTAGTAGTAGTGGTTGTCGGGCGCAGTGGAGGCGTGCTTGCAGTGGTGAAAGAATGCCAGATCGTGGGAGCTTAGAAGCTCGTCTACACACACGAGTCGCCAACCGGCGTGGCTTTTTTTTGGCTGAACTCTGAGTCGTTTGCCAAGCATAAAAATGTTAATCTGCAAACGCTCTCCAAAAAGGCCCGCCGCAAGTTCCTTCACCAAAGCATGCCGCTCGTGTGGTATGACTGCGCGTGCACGTTGTCGCTGTTCTTGCGAGCCAAAAAGCGGAGGTGCCGATCAAGTGTGAGCCGTGTCTTCAAGAAATTGAGGCTCACTGTTGACAAATTTCATTTCCGCAAGGGCCACCGCGGCTGCAAGAAAATTGGCAGCCGCCCGCTAAAACGAGTTTGGCCGCAGACCCACAAGAAACGCTATCCGCATATTAACGATAGTGCTGCAGAACAATCCTTCGCGTTTCTTCGCAAGATTGCTGTGTCAGCAAGGCGCATGACACCAGTGCGAGGATTGCTTTTTGTCGTCTTGCTGCAGCATGACCGAAACCTTCTGCTAGAAAACCTGCCAAAGTCCAAGACTCTCTGAGGTCGGAGAATAAGTTTTCTGTCCAGGCCTCTACTCCAAACCCATCCGCATCGCAGAAAAAAAGTTGCGGCCTTGCTGGGCGGTCATCAAACTTACTTCAAGATTGATTACATCGACAAATGGCTGAGCAAGCATGCTGTTGGAGAAAGTCTTACTTTGACATCGTATCTCGTCTTTGCAACTGTCAAACATGGTTGAAACAACCTGGGTCCTCGAATGCATGTTTTGAAATCTGTACTCACACATGTTCGCGTCGGTCAGTCCCTCGCTTAGGCCTACGTTTTTTCTCGCTTAGGACTACGTTTGTGATATATGACTACAGTACCAATAGAAACATATATGGATGTTTTTGAACATGACTTCAGCAGGCTTGTACATGTGTGACAGAGATGATCATCAGGACATTTTCATGCAATCATATGAATAAGAAGATGTTACAACGTATAAGGACTGTATTTCAAGTGCCTTGAAGGAGAGTTTGGAACGTACCGGGAACATTTTGCAAGTTACTTGAGGAATATAATGCAACGTATTAGGAACATCTTGCATGTTACTGGACGAAGATGTTACAACATACCAGGAACATCATTCAAGGTTCTTGAAGAAGCTGTGACAACGTGCCAGGAACGTCTTGCAAGTTACTTGCAGAAGATTTCACAACGTATCAGAAACGTGTTGCAAGTCACTTGAAGAAGATGTTACAACGTATCAGGAACATCTCGCAAGTTAGTTGAAGAAGAGTTTAAACCGTATCAAAAAGGTCCTGCATGTTACTTGACGGGAAGATGTTGCAACGTAGCAGGAACGTCTTGCATGTTCCTTGACGAAGATGTTACAACATATCAGGAACATCATTCAAGTTACTTGAAGAAGATGTGACAACGTGCCAGGAACGTCTTGCAAGTTGCTTGCAGAAGATTTCACAACGTATCAGAAACGTGTTGCAAGTCACTAGAAGAAGATGTTACAACGTATCAGGAACATCTGGCAAGTTACTTGAAGAAGAGTTTACAACGTATCAGGAACGTCTCGCAAGCGACTTACAAGTAGGAAGATGTTGCAATGTATCAGGAACGTCCTGCATGTTACTTGACGAAGATGTTACAACATATCAGGAACATCCTTCAAGCTACTTGAAGAAGATTTGACAACGTGCCAGGAACGTCGTGCAAGTTACTTGACGAAGATGTGACAACGTGCCAGGAACATCATTCAAGTTACTTGAAGAAGATGTGACAACGTGCCAGGAACGTCTTGCAAGTTACTTGCAGAAGATTTCACAACGTATCAGAAACGTGTGGCAAGTCACTTGAAGAAGATGTTGCAACGTATCAGGAACATCTGGCAAGTTAGTTGAAGAAAAGT